GCCCGTACAAAGCCTTTTTGAGTTTATAAACTTTATGTTCTTCTCCCTTCTGCACATAACCACAAGGCTGTTCCACAAACACATTTTCAGTTAACTCACCGTGTAAAAAGGCAAATTTCACGTCTAACTGGTAAATAGGCCACCCCTTTTGAGTTGCGAGTGCAATCACCAGCCGAATTGTCTCCATGCATGCTACAGGGGCAAACACCTCATCATAGTCCACTCCATGTTGTTGAGCATACCCTTTCACCACCAATCGGGCTTTATATTTATTGACCTCTCCATTCTCATCAAATTTTGTCTTATAGACCTTATAGACCAATTTTACTCCAATTGATTTTCCTCCTGCCGGCAAATCTGTTAACTCCCATGTGCCGTTTCTTTTTATGGCTTCCATCTCCACATCCATAGCTTGCCTCCATTTTTCATCTTTTACAGCATCTTCAAAATGAACAGGATCAGTATTTACAAACAGAACCATATCAGCTTCCCCTTCAAAAAGTCCTTCACCTGTCTCATAATCTTTCATCCAAACAGGTGGCATTCTAGTTCTTTCAAGATTATAAGTAGCAGATGAATTTGAAGAACTAGAATCAGAGTCATAAGAATTAAGAGACATGGTTACCTCCGCATCATTATCGTTAGATTCGACTTGTTCAGGTACAAAATCTGGTTCTTGATCATTATTCTCTTGCACCTCATCATCTTCCCATTCCAAGTCAAAAACAATGGATTGTTCATGCTGCTTTTCCCATTCCCATTGTTTGTCTTCTTCAAATACAACATCTCTGCTTATGATGATCCGTTGGGAAATTGGATCATAAAGATGATAAGCTTTTGATTCTTCACTGATTCCCAGCAAAACACAACATAAACTCTTGCTATCCAGCTTGGTTCTTTTATTATCTCATAAACTCTTGCTATCCAGCTTGGTTCTTTTATTATCTGGAATGTGAACATGAGAAATGCACCCAAACACTCTAAAATACTCAATCGAAGGTTTGATTCCACTCCACGCTTCCTCTGGTGTTTGATTCTTCACTGCCAAGGTAGGACTGCAATTCAAAACATGTGCTGTCCAATTAACAGTTTCTGGCCAAAAAGAGTTTGGACCTTTCTTCTCTGAAAGCATACTGCGAACCATATTCATAATAGTTCCATTTTTGCGTTCAGCGACGCCGTTTTGCTGAGGCGTATAAGCAGCTGTCAATTGTCTTTTTATGCCATTATTAGCACAAAAATCATTGAATTCCTGTGATGTAAACTCTCCACCTCTGTCAGTGCATAAAATTTTAACAAAAAAACCTGTCTCGTTCTCAACATTTGCCTTGAATTTTTTAAAAACAGCAAAAGCTTCAGACTTTTCAGTTAGAAAATAGACCCATAATTTTCTGCTGTAGTCATCAATAAAGGTGAGCAAATACCTTTTGTTGCTATTAGAAACAGGCTTGATAGGTCCGCAAATGTTGGCATGAACTAATTGCAAAACTTGTGAAGCTCTCCAAGTACTCTTTTTAGGAAATGGATCACGTTGTTGTTTCCCTACCAAGCAATCTTTGCACAATTTCAGTGGAGCCTTCATTTATGGCAATCCATGCACCATTGTTTTTTGTTGGAGAAGTTGCAGACCGCTGAAGCTTAAGTGTCCATAACGACAATGCCAATGTACATTATCTTCTATAGTTGTGCTAAAATAGGCTAATGCTATAGGTTGAGATATAGCATTTAGAACAAACATTCGATTGGAAGCCATTACCATGTCCATAATCAACCCCTTTTGAGGATGGTACACTTTGCACTTATTATGCTGAAACAAGATAGAGAGACCCTTTTCTTGAAGTGCCCAATACTGAGCAAATTATTCTTCAAATCTGGTACATAAAATACGCCTGTGATGGTCTGTGCTATCCCATGCATTAGCAGCCTGATATTGCCTTTGCCTCTGACATTCAAGCTAGAATTGTTGCCTAGCTTCACAAAATCTTTAAATCTTTCATCAAGATCAAAGAAATACTCCTTCTTCCCGCACATGTGATTGCTGCAACCTGAGTCGAGAAACCAAGTATCTTCTTTATTGGCAATATTTGTTTCCAAATATGCCATCATATGCCATCAACAACATCTCTTCTTGCGCCTCAACAAAATGCACCTCCTTTTCTTTTTGTGAACACTCCCATTGAAAGTGCCCAAGGTTGTAACAACGGTAGCACTCAATTGTTGATTTGTCAAAACTCTGTTTGCCTCTGCCTCGTCCACGGCCCCGACTATTACCGCGACCTCTTCCTCCAGAATGATCTCCATGTGAAACTTTCAAAGCATGCTCTTCTTCATTCTGAGAATTCATGCGTTGTTCATGCACAAGCAGACTACTTTGCAGCTCATCAATAGTTAGCATGCTTGTGTCTTTTGATTCTTCAATAGAACAAACAATATAACTTCAATAGAACAAACAATATAATTAAATTTGGGAGTCATGGATCTCAGAATTTTTTCAACCACAACAGCATCTCCCTTGTCCTCACCATTTGCTTTCATTTTATTAGCAATGGTAAGAGTTCGGGCAATAAATTCATTCACAGTTTCTCCAGTCTTCGTGTGAAGAATTTCAAACTCTTTTCGAAGAGCTTGCAGCTGTGCATGCTTAACACGAGTTGTTCCGTGATATTTCTGCTTCAGAGAATCCCATATGTCTTTTGCTGTATCCTTTTTGAGGATTGTCTTTAGGACTGACCGATCCAATGCTTGAAACAGAAAATTCTTCGCTTTCAAGTCTTTCAATTTCTGATCTTCAAAGCTTTTCTTTTGTGCGTCTATCAAAGATACTCCTTCTGCTGCTGCAGGAACTCCATCTTCTACCAAGTGCCAATACTCTTTTGAGCGCAAGAAATTTTCCATGAGCATCGCCCAATGCTGCTGCAGGAACTCCATCTTCTACCAAGTGCCAATACTCTTTTGAGCGCAAGAAATTTTCCATGAGCATCGCCCAATGATCATAATGCCCATCAAATTTGGGTATTGCTGGTTGAACAAAAGAATATTCAGTTGTCATATTTGAATCACAGAAAAGAAGAAAGACACTTATAGAAGACTGCTACTTCTAACCCCCTAAGGGCTTTGATACCAAATGTTAAAAGAAGATTAAGAAAGAAAGAAGAAAGAATTATGAGAAGAATCTGATGATTTACTAACTTGACACAGCATAGCTATTTATATAGCTTTACAGAATTGAAATGCAGAAAATTAGTTAACAGAAACACCAAAAATCTAGAATATGTTAACAAACAAAACAAATCAAGTATCCCAAATAAATAGGGATTTATTTGACTGAAATAAAGACTAACACTAGATCCTTAATAATATCTAAAAACCACATATCATTCGTGACAACTTTCTTCTATAACCTTTTTAATATCACTCACTTTCAAAATATCACTCACTTTCAAAATATCACATTTATGAATTAGGGCATGCGGGATTATGTCGTAGTTATTATTCATTTATTTTATCTCCAACTTCTGTGACTTGCACCTTTTATCTAACGTAGTCATTTATAATTATGTCCAACTTTGTGTAACCACATATCCATTATTGCATTCTCATATGTACAATATTCATTCTATGAACATGTTAGGCACTTGATGCCCAATCGTAGCATATCTAGTCTCCTCATTTTTCCATAGAATTTACCTCTCACCTTGTTAGATATCTTCCTATTGTATAATATATTATGTAGCACTCATCCGTTTCATCCATATTACTTATGTGAATTAATTGCATCTAGGCTCCTGTCCAGTCTAATCCCATTTTCCTACTTATTTCTTAAGCAAAATTCACAGTGCATATATTTTGTTTCCTTCTATGTATTATCGATTAGCTCATCCATTATTAGGGTAAATAAGTATGGGATCAAAGCAGAGTCCTTATGTAGCTCAACAGTTATAGAGAACTCCTCTAGGATCAGAAGCCTCCTAGTTTGATGCTTTCGGTTTTTTTCTATGCCATTCTCATTTTACTTTAAATGATCTACCACTAGGAATCATGTGATCAAGGCCATAACCCTGTAATTTCAGTTTCTTAAATGGCCGATATGGCTTCTAGGCCCTTCTCTTCTTCTAACCACTGGCATGGTTCCCACACTATGGCTACCGCTATCTTCTATATTTCTAGGGCCCAATATGGCCAGCCTGCTTTCCTTGATTGGACTATTGCATATTCAATCTTGGTGCTTCCTCGCCTGAGACTGGTGAGAGGTGATCGGAAATGGGTAGCAAGTGATGGGTAGATGTTGTGATCGCGAGAGAGAGAGAGAGAGTTGGGTAGAGAGAATCTGAGTTCCCATAGCATGAGGGATTTGGGTTGATATAAGTTAAGTTCGTCTTTTTACTCTAAAAATAAATGCAAAGGTGTGATTTTTCGGTGGAAGGACTAAGTGGTACAAGAGACGCAAATTTTAAAAACATTATAAATATTTTGACCAAATTCTAGACTATTTAGATAATTATGATAAATTTTATAGACGAAATAATAATTTTTTTTTTATTTCTGTTTTAATTCTATTTGACAATATTAATTATTTTAATAGTTATTAGTTGTTATATTGATTGTTAGTTATTAATTATTGATATAACGATTTAAATTAAAAATATTTAATAAAAATAACTGTTTAACTTAAAATAATAAAAAAGAATATTAATTTTAACTAGTTGAACTCAGAAAAAAAAACAGTAGATACGACTATTAAAAAGTTTAATTAATATTTATTAAATACTAAAAATTATTTAACTTTTTATAAAAAAAACTTTATCAACCTTTAAAAATTATTATAAAAATTATATTTATTAAAAAATAAAATTAATATAATTTTAATTTGATTAAAATATTAAAAATTATTATTAGGAAAGAAAGACGTTTAGCACCTTCGGCATATAATTTTCCAATGCACAAATATCTTACATCTGTCTCCAAGTGTACCTTTCAATTCAGACACCTTTCCAGTCGTCATTCACCCTTCTACTTCCACATGCAATACAAAGAAACAAAAGCACAACTCATCACACCACACGACTTCACCACCCAACAAATGAGCGGCGCAACCAGCTTCGGTCGGTTCTACGAGACCTGGTTCGACCAACTTCACCACATGGTTAATCAACTAAGGAAAACTTCTAAACCGCCCCCCAACCAAGACGCCGCTGCCCATTTGAGTCACTTTGTTGATAAGCTTATGAATCACTATGCAGAGTATTATAGGGTTAAGTCAGCGGCGGCGGAGCGCGACGTTTTGTCAGTGTTCACCGCCCCTTGGGCATCCTCCCTCGAACGGTCGCTCCACTGGATCGCGGGGTGGCGACCCACCACTTTGTTTCATCTTATGTATACTGAGTCAAGCATACTGTTTGAGTCTCATATTGTTGATATTTTAAGAGGGCTAAGAACTGGAGATCTTGGTGATCTATCACCTACTCAGTTCAGGCAAGTTCCACTAATTTTCTTTTTATTTTTAAAAAATTTGAATTTATGTTGATTTGCATTTTTTTTTTTTTTTAGCATTTGGTAAGGAAAATCGACCCTAATATATTTCTTTATTTATTTTCTTGATAAATAATCTCTAAGTGCTTATTTAGATCGATAAAATATAAAATTTATGGATTTCATATTCCATGAAATTACATTTGTTTGATCGAAAAATAAATTTTATGAATTTAAAGGGTATTTTTAAAATAAAATTAATGCCCGGTTGGTATAAATGAAGTCAAAATCTGAAATTATACATGAATTTTGCATGTTTGGAATAAATTCAAAATAAAAAATTTGTTTTCTTTTTATTTTAAAAATACTCTAATATAATAGCGTTAGAAATGTTAGAAAAGATAGGGGATAGAGAATTTTATCATAAAAGTTTATATTTTATTTATAATTTAGTTTAGTTATATTTAAATTTATAAAATTGAACTGATAAATTAAATTTTTGTTTTTTTCATACAAAACACGAAAATTAAAATTTATAAATGAATTTTAAAAAATTATGTGGAGTTCATTTATTCCAAACAAAGAATAAATGATTTAAATTTAATCAAATGTAAAATTAAAGAAATTCATCTTTCAGGACTTCGATTTTTCTTCTTTCATATAATTGTGATGTTATGGTAGAATTTTATTAATTCGTAAATATTAGAATTGAATTTTTCGGATTCCATCGTTCAAAGAATCTCTGAGCATGCTCATGGTTATTTTAAAATTTTATTAGTTCAGAAAAAAAAAAAAAAAAAAAAAGAAGAAAGCATGCCCCTCATGGTTATTTTTAGAATTTTTATTAGTTCAGAAAAAAAAAAAAAAAGAAGAGAAGAAAAAAAAAAAAAAAAAAAAGAAGAAGAAGAATATTAATACAGTGATGAAATGGTATGATATTGGTTGGAAATCTTGAAATAGGAGAGTGAGCGAGTTGCAGTGCGAGACAGTGAAAGAAGAGAATGCACTGACAGACCAACTTTCGGAATGGCAAGATGGCGCAAGTGAGTTAGCAGGGTCCACTTCTGGCACTGACGTTGATGAAAAGATCGGACGGTTGGTGAGCATTGTTCATAGGGCAGATGATCTACGGCTCAGAACAGTCAGGATGATTGTTGATATGTTGACCCCATACCAAGCTGCAGAGTTCTTGGTTGCTGTTGCGGATTTGCAGTTTGGAATCCACATTCGGGGAAGAAATCAGGACCGTCTACGTCAGAATTAGAGATGTAGTACATGGAAAATAGGTGTGCCTGTTTTACACGCTAGTATTTCCTTAGTGAGTACATGAATATTGTCTTATGGGACATATATATTGGATTCGTTTATGAGAGTTAATTAAGGATGATGCATTGAATTATGAATTCGATAGATTTTAAAAGATTTTAAAATTTAAAGTTATTCGATTTAGATATTTTTAGAGTTTATTAAAATTTTATGGTGTTCAATTTAGATTTTTATAAAATTTATAAAAATATGGTGGTATTTAATTATGATTTTTAAGACTACATATTTGATGGTATTTAAAAATTTCTAATTTAGAAAAATTTATAAAATTATTAATTTCGTTGAATTTTACAGTGTTAGGCATAAATAAAAGAGTGATTCAGAAATTCTTTCAATTCAAAGATTTTAAAAATCTTTTCATTAAAGTTTTGATCCAACATACCGCTTTAGGTAAAAAATGTATTAATTTATTGGATTAATTTCGAATTAATCTATGCGTTGAGAATTTGATATTTTGAAAAAAATTAATATTAATGCTATTGTAATTTTCAGAATTAATTTGATTATTTTGTGAAAGTTTTGTGAATTTATTTCAATTAAATATTGATTTGATTAAATAAAAAAAAATGGAAAAGCTTTGAAATAGTTGAAGAATTAAAGAATACAGTCTGTTGTTGTTGTGATCGAACTGCTAGACTCCGTGAGCCACAAGCAGCAGGCCTAATGCCAGCGAGTTGTACATGAGGCCTGCCTCGATGTGCACTGCCTCCTTAAGCGAGCTCTGGTTCAATGCACGTGTATATATATATATATGATTTCAATAAGACGGTGGCCATTCAATCAAGGGACAAGAAGTTTATTGTCTTTCGATTATATCGCGACTATTCTAGGAGCACAGGACGATCGGCAGTGACACTGACCATTGCAGACTTTTCACGGACGACAGGCAATGACATTGACTATTGCAGACTTTTCATTGTCAACGGTGGTAAGATTTTAAAGAAGAAGAAAACAATTTTGAGAAGATGATGCATTTTGCTTTTGGTCTCTCATTGTTTTTCAATTTTTTAATTAATCTTAAAAAAACCTTTTAACTTGTTCAATTAGGTTTTGAAATTAATTGATTGGATATATAAAAATTATTGTACATCAAACTCAATCAAAATCTACAAAAAAAAAAAAAAAAATCAACTCATTCAAAATCTACAAAAAAAAAAAAAAAAAAGTCATATTAATGCCATAAAAAAAAAAAAAAAAAAAGTCATATTAATTCCATAAAACTCTACGTAGAATTTTAGTGGAATCTATAGAAATTTTAGGAAATCCACCAATTCCATTAAATTTAATAATTCTTTTAAAAGTTATACAATCCTAATCCAATGCACTTCTAAATTAGATTCATTTCCATATAAAAAGAGATGGAAAATTGCATTCCATATTAATGAAAATTAACAATATTATTATCTTATTTTATAAACTAATTTTGCTTCAAAAATTTTTTATGTTATTATAGTATTCTATTAATTTGTTATTAAAAAAATTTGTTGAAATAGTGGTTGTATGAAAATTTTTTTAGATTAAACAAATAAAAGATATTCAAAATTATGGACAATAAATGATGTGTAATTTATTATTATTTTTATTTCGTTCTCTATTGTAATATTTTTTAAAAAAATTACTGTAATTCAACATTTCTATCATTATTTTCTGCAAAGTTATTTCTTAAAAAAATAATTTTTTATAAAATTTAACTTTTTGTTTAAATAATTTTCTATAAGAATGTTTAATTCGATAACAAACGCTTTATAAATTAAAATTATTATTATGATTTATACATTTTTCATAAATCATCACATGTTAGTGTTTTTTTTTTTGGAATCTTATTCTTAACCAAGCAATTTCAATTGAAATTTTAGAATTTTAATCACCAAATACCCTTCCATGTTAAATCAAATGGCATGAGAAAATGCCCGTGTTTGCCTTTTAGCCTAATTTGTTCTATAAAATAACTTGCGGAAAAATATTTTTTACAATTTTTTATTTGGGGCGTTCAGAAAAATAAATCAATAAAAAATATTTTTCTGATCAAAGGAAAATTAAGTCATTTTTAAGGAAAATGATTTCCCATTTTTAAGAGAGCAAAATATTTTTCGGATATTGACAAACTTATTATAACGTTATTGATAGAAGTAAAATCTGAGAAATATTAGAATTGCAATTGAGTTATAATATTGTGTCCTTTGATGAGATATGATACATATATTTATAGCAATTTCCTAATTGTAGGAAAAGACCTTTAAGCCTAACAAGTATCTTGGTCATAAATGATAAACGAGAATTTGATACATTAATTGTTTAGTTTAAATGATTCTTTGATCAAGACGTTACGAATCCCAAAATGACGCTTAGGTCATTTATATATTCAGCTGTTTTACATGTTCGACCTATTTTGAACATTCAACATATTTGTTAGTTCCTATCAAAAGTTCCCCAACATGGTGTTGATTGATAGGTGTTATTTTTATAGTGTTTTTAATATAATTTTTATTAGGAATTTTAGTAGTTTTAATTACTTTAATTAGTTTTTATTTAATATTATTTACGTTTGTGTGTAAAGCGTCCTTGAATCGTAATCTATTTGATCTTAAGGAAATTTGTAGGGTTTTGGCACAGAAAAGAGCAAAATAAAGCAAAAGACTCAGGCTCTAGCACGCCCTGCCCGTGCACATTAGCACGCCCGTGCTGAACTAAGGAAAATCAAGTGGAGACTCAGACTCTAGCACGCCCGGACCGTACTATCTAGCACACCCAGACCGTGATATCTGGCACGCCCGTGCCTGAGAGGACACCAGACCGTGCTTGCTTAAGCACGCCCGTGATGCATTTCATCCTGGAGACTCAGAGCTAGCACGCCCTAGCCGTGCTATGGGGCATGCCCGTGCCACAGATTCTTCTCTGGATGTGTTGCTGAGCATGGCCTGTGCTGAACCATCCTTAGAACTCAGACTCTAGCATGCCTAGATCGTGCAAAACAGCACACCCGTGCTACGAATTAGGTGCTGTCTTAAATTGAGAACGCCAGCCAGCTTCTATAACTTACATGGGCCCACCTCAGATATTTTTCTGACGTACAAATCAAGATCTAATCCTATTTAGGAAGATGGAAACAGATTAATCCTATTTAGGAAGAATGGAAAAAGTCTAATTGAGAAGAAATCGAAAGCGCTAAGACAGTTTCTTATCTCCAAAAAGATTTCTTTTCTTAATAAGGATTCTATTTTCTAAACGAGTCAGAATTTTCTCGCCAGAAAATCTAAATATAAATAGATAAATAGAGAGACTAGCCATAGTCAAAGGAGTCGTTCATTGTATATTCCATCGTTTGTTCTATTGTTTTCTCTCTCTCTCCAAGACTTCAAGTATTCAAGGTTTGTATCAAGTTTCAAGGAAACCGTCCAAGCCGATCATTAACTAGTTTTTATTTCTAAACTCTTTCCTTGTTTTATTTTCAATATTCATATTGATTATGAGAATATTTACAAGTTTTATTGAGTTTTATTTAATTACTATATTGAACTAAAACTCTCATACTAGAGATTTGATGTAACTTAATTTTGATTCCAATTTATAATATTAATTCGATTCCAAATTTATAATATTAGATTTGCTTTTCTTTGTTCTTGCTATAATTTATTATTGAACTTAAAGCTTCTAGGCAGAGTTCATCCCCTAGATTGATTTATTTTATTAATCACTATCGGAGAAGGGTTTTTGATATGAAAAAGGTAATAAATTACATGAGAATAATAACTTGATGCGGAAGCTATATGGTTTGACTCGTGGGGGGGTTTTCATAAGCTAATGACCTTAGGTTATGAATTCACAAAACAAACCATAAAACTTAATGATTTAATTTATGTTTGATTGTGCTATTAGAAGATAGGGTTTGATTAACGCGCCTATTGGGACAGAGATGGGAGACTACAATACGATCGGTTTAAAATAGGCTTAAAAATACATCGGTGCAAGAAAGTTAGTTAGCTGGATATTTTAGGGTTTGTTTTTTCCCTGACTTAAAAATTAGAAATTGAGTTAGTAAAACTAATAAAATACATTCTGAATAGAATTAACTGAAGTCAAATCTAGTAGTCTCTTTAAATCCTTGATCTTCTTTCTACGTCAAATATGTGCCTTGATTCTCTTTTATGGTTCTTTTTGTTTTTATTTGTATTGTTAAGTTGTTACATTCCTTCGTGTGAAAGGAGTAAGGTTGTGCCCCTTTATAGTACCCGTTAAATAAATAATAATAGTTAACATAATTTTGTGGTACTTATGGTATATCGAATTCCCTTCGTGGAAAATTATACTATCTACCATTCTATATTTATCTTGTTATTTAGCCAGGATTTTTTTTGTTCTTTTTTTTTATTTGTTTAATTTAATTTCTTAAAATAATTCCTTTTATTACCGTTTAAATAATAATAGGTTAACATAATCTTGGTACTTGGTATACAATCCCTGTGGAAATGATACTCTACTCATTCTATATTACTTGTTGCGATTTTCGTACACTTGCAAAAAATCACTGCATTGATCATTTATTTCAGTCTTTGAAGAAACGTCCTACATCCATTAAACTACTAATTCTAATCACTAGGGCATTTAAGTCACTTTGTGTACTTTTTGAAATTTGATCTACCTCCATGTATGCCATAATTGACAGTTTACTTTATGCACATTTAGTCAAACTTTCAGCCATCAAATCAGGTCTTATCTTTAATGAATGCGACCTTTGAAATTATCTATGCACTTCAAATGGCAGTGACGCTTTAAGTAATATATATTTTTATTAACTTATGTCTCTTGACTTTTCGCATCTCTTGATTTTCTTTCCGACTGTATCCCTTCATCTTGCATTTCTTCCTTATGTAATTCTACATTTTTGGAAGAAAAACATCTTCAACTCCATTTTCATCTCCTCCAATCATAAATTCTTCCTACAAAAGCTTTTTTAGGCACTTTAAAGAAAGGTAATTTACTTTGCTTCTTTTTATTTGCTTTTATTATGGGTTCTCATACTCCTTCTTCGAATAAGGGTAAAGCCATTGCTGTTGAACCTTCATCGGAATCAAGTTTT